TAAATAAAATAAAATAAAATAAATAGCAGTGGTATATGTAGTGCCTCACCCATAGATATAGGCCTTATAAAAGCCTTTATACCGTATATTCTAAAATAAATGACTGATACCCAGAGGTGGGTAGTAAGTTAGCAACTACTTACTTTTACATGACTAAGTGCTTTTTCTTACTTTCCTTTAAGAGTAGTTTTAATACACTGTACATTTTAATATACTTGAGTATAATTTTGTAATACTCTACCCACTATAAGTAACCAACATGTTTTAACCAGAAATGCAGCAGCGACACACCTACAGATTATATTGAAGTGACACGTCTTGTTTACAGACAAACTTTGTTCTTCTAATACTATTTTCTATCTGTTAAGACTTTTGGAGGTCAAATGAATATATGACAGTAGATATAGTCATTGTGGTAAATATTTTACCACAGAGCAAAAATATATTTGTTTTTCCTCCTCTGTGACTCTAATCGTATTCCTTATATATATAATTTATTTCTATATTTTCTTACTCATTACTTTTCCTTTAAATACTTATTTTGTATCATGAATTTTACTTTGGATACTTAAGAACAGTAAATGTCAGATACTTAAGACTATTACTCGAGTGATGTTCTTAGAAGAGACTAAGTTTTACCAAATAATTTATGGTAAAATACTCAGGTATCACTTTGAGGTATATACTGTACAAGGCTGACCAACTGTAAATATTAGTTTAATAAGTTTCACAATGAGACRTATTTGACTTGGAAACGTGGTTCTTCTGCTGTAATTTTTCATTTTATAGTTGTGTTATTTATTTTTTTAAAATGTCTTCATTTAAGTCTTTAAACRCACCAGAATTTGCACATGGCTGTCTATTTTTTTGTCAGCCTGATATCATTTGAAAATATTCAATTGTTGTGAAATGTTGCCTTTATACAATTCAGTCATTTCTTGGCTAGTTTATACTTTTATTTGAGTTAAAGTAGTGCTACTCTTTCTTGAATACAACCTTTGGGTACTGCTGGAGCTGACCTGACCATTGAACCTGCTGAGGACAGGACCGCTGGGTGGCGCTGTTGCTCCTTCGGACTCTGGAAGTGCTGCTGCCATTGATATTTATTACTAAATATATACAGTATATGCTAATTTCCTATCCTGTTTGTGGGCCTGCGCGCTGTGAACGCGCSTTCACGTCTGAACGACAGGTGGGCGTGGCTTGAGCCGTAAAGWGCGCTTCTCCTCGCCCCCCTGGCAGTATACTCACTCACCAGGACCACTTTGACGGCCGCTGTGAGAGCTTAGAAAAATAATAATAATTAAAAGTCCAGGAACTTGTTAAGAGTGCCTCTGCTGAGAAACCACAATGGTAAGACTTTACAAATTCACTTATTTTAGAGTAGTTTTTTGTATTATTATTTTAGAGAATTCAGCACCTCCTGCAGCAGGACCCCCTGGTCAGAAATAGCTCCTCAGTGACTGACAGTAAAGCTGATCTGGCTGCTGCCTGGCAGAGCAGGTGCTGATGACATGCTGCATTTTTAACTCACAAAGAAAAGGCACAAAATATAAAATAGAATAAAGAAAAACTTGATGTGGATAAAATACCAAACCTGATTTTGGATACTTTTATTTTAATCAACAAAAACAATCTGATGATATGATGATATTTTTGAAAAAAAAAAAAAAAAAAGCTTGCTCATCAAGTATGTGGTGAGCTAATGTGTGGGAATAAGGTGTGTCTCCTGACACGTCTTTAAGCAAGTCACTGCAGACTGAGACAGAGCAAAGAATTCTAACAGAGCAGGAAATATTTTTCCCTTTCATTCTCAAAAAAATAATAATAATTGTGGAACAAGTGAGAGCACGAGTCTTCATTACATCAAAACTACTTTAACTGCAGCAAACAAAGCAAATTCTCCAGTCTGTCAAAAAAAAAATCATTTATATCCTGTACTGTTTCTGCAACTCTGTTCATAATTATCTTATGAATAATTTCTGAAAAACAATTTTTAGTCATTTGGTTCRATGATAGGAAAAGTTAACAAGTGCACATTTGACCTCAGTGTTCTGTTTGCACTATGTTGTGTAAACACTGTGTGTTACCACCAGTACTATAAAACCCTTATGGCATCACTGTTTACTCAGKACTCTGCTTTCTCATTGCTCTAACCAGATAAATCAGACGCATAAAGTTTTATTTTTTTATTATAGGTTAAACATTAGTTTGAAACTGAGAAGTTTGATGGAGGAATACACACTCTAAAAATGAAATGTTGGATTTACTTAACCATGTTATGTTACCTGGTTCCACTTAACTGAGTTGAGTAAATTCAAAGCAACATATTCATGTTCTTTGGCTAAAAAAAAAACTGGTATATTGCTTTGAATTTACTCAACTCTGTTAAGTGGAACCAGGTAACATAACATGGTTAAGTAAATCCAACATTTCATTTTTTACTGTGCAGAAAACTGTCTGTGAAAGAAAAGAGAGTAACATGAAAATTTCAAATATCTTCAAACATACCAATTGCAATAGAGAATGGTAAATATACTTTTAACCTTAGGTCACACAGTAAGTTGCGAAACACTGAGCTTAAATGCAGTGCCCTTGACTTTATTAAAAATACTCTGTAGTTTCAAGATTTTGGCTCAGGAATGGGAGTAGAACTTGATTAACTATATTTAGCTCTTGACTATTTTACTCTAAATAGTTCCTGTCACTGTACATTTTTTCCACAAACCAAAAGGTGATGTGGCTGATTAAATGGGTTGACTGTGGAGCTGTTTAATAAGGGTCTATGCAAAAAAAAAAAAAAAATGGAAATTGGAAATTATTTGAACAAGTTTCCAGTAAAAAATCTCTTCCCTTTGTGTCAGTTTAATTTCTGTTTTTTTCACTTTCCTTGTTTACTTTTCCTGAGGTTTTGGCCTTCAGCAGAACTGGAACCTCAAGTCAGTGAGCTCACACCTTAGGCGCGCCTTTGCTTCTCCGGTCACACCCTTGGACATGAAAAGGTTGACAGTTGTAGATACGTTTGTTGTATTAGACTCACCTTGAATAACAGCACTAAGTTATCACTTTTAACAGAAAGGTTTTGAAATTTCCCCTGGCGATGACCACTGTTTGGAGAGGGCTGATGATCAGTGTTTACAGCAACAGGCATCCCTTTCTGCTGAGTGTCAGGTTAGTGTGAGCTCACCAAAATAGCTCTGCTAACCTGGAAACGCTGGCAAGTCAGGAAGTTTTACTTTGACAGAGGAAAAGAAAACACGACATAAAGCCGTTGCTCTGCCCATGACGAGTGAAGATATTTTTTTCAAGAGTAGTCAAGCTATATAGCAGATTAAATGAAAGAATGTAACAGTAATGTGAAAATAAATCCATGTAGGCTTAGCTTTCTTATTATGACTGGGTCTTTATTTTTAGTCACTGAGATTAACGGTTGCTGTTGTAATTTGCACTTCTTAGGTCACAAATAAAATTAGAATATTTAAGTCTTCATACAAATAAATAAATGCTAACAGGAAATACTTTTTGTAGTATGTTCTTAACCGGATCCCTGTTGTTTCTCGTAATTTAACAGGTTACAGGTTTGACCTATGAAATGCTAAATCATACTGACAAAAGTGTTCATGCACTTTGCTCTGTTAATGAACTCTACAAACCAGACAAGTATGTCCGGCTTTGGCTTAATTCAGCACTTATTGCATAGTTTACCGGTTTATGCTTTCAAACAGAAAAGACAAACCGGTCTGCCTCTTTGTTTACAAATGCAACGGCCATATCACAAAAGCCCAAGGCAATGTTCTGTTTGGATTTGAATATATTACAAGCTTTTCCATAAATTAAGTGTCGTCTTGTTTTTCATCACAAATGTAAGATGCAAACACATAAAGTTTAATTGTTTAAATATTTGTTTTTTGCAACTCTGTTGCTCAAATAGTAATATATAAAACATGTTTAGCTTCATGTAAACACTGAACAAGTCAGAATTCTGTTTTTCTTTATTGTATTTTGGCTTCAATGAGACAAGCGTTCTTTTTAACTCTGTCATTTTCATTACATAAATAGCAAATGCTCATGTGTCCTGAACATAGCCTCCATTTTAGCAATTCATGACCTCATGACTGAGCAGTCACATGAAAAAGGGACAGCTGCAGAAAATATTAGCTGTGCCTTCTCTTGCCTGTTTCTGTGCTGCCATCAAGTGGCAGTGTTACAAATGACTCTTCTTGTGGCAGCTTCAGTTTTGAGGAAATTTTGTCAACTTTTTGAATGGAATTTTGTGTCTTTTCCACTCTCATCTCCTTTTTTTTTTTTTTTTTTTTTTTTTGTTACAGCGTGAATGCATCTCTGTCCACGTGGGCCAGGCAGGTGTCCAGATGGGAAACACTTGCTGGGAGCTCTACTGTCTGGAGCATGGCATCCAGCCGGATGGCCAGATGCCGAGCAACAAACCCATAGGCGGCCATGATGACTCCTTTACCACTTTCTTTAGTGAGACTGGGGCTGGAAAATATGTCCCTAGAGCTATCTTTGTAGATCTGGAGCCCACTGTCATTGGTCAGTACAAATTAGGAATGTGCAACTTTCTTTGCTATTCATAGCATAATGAAATTCTCTAATGCAGATTTTCAGATAAGAATAAATACTGAATCTTAATCAATTTTTAAGGGTTTACTTTAATGAAAAAAATGTATTCCTATTTTTCTTGATTGATCAGATGAGGTGAGAACAGGGTCGTACCGCCAGCTCTTTCATCCTGAACAGCTGATCTCAGGAAAGGAGGATGCAGCTAACAACTATGCCCGAGGGCACTATACCATCGGCAGAGAGATAATTGACTCGGTCCTGGACAGAATTCGGAAACTGGTAAGGAACTTTAATTGCTTATTGCTATGAATGCATACTCAAAAAGCATATGTATAGTCAGCCCAGAAAATCTTATCTTACAAAATTTCTCAGCGCATCTCAGGCTCACAACATTTTGCATTCAAACTCACTAAGTTACTTTTATGGTGCATTCACATAATGCTGACTGCAGCAACTGCACATGGATTTGCAATAATGATACAACAATAAAACGGCTCATTTCTTGATAGTAGAGTGGGGATGGGTCAATTCTAGTAAACATTAAGTACTTTATAAGTTTCATGTGCTTATTTTAACAAAACAATGAGTCCAATAAACCAAGCTATGAGAACAGTAATGTACTTTAATCAGTGTTTCTGTTTCCTCTGTCTACCCACAGTCTGATCAGTGCACTGGCCTGCAAGGTTTCTTGGTCTTCCACTCCTTTGGTGGAGGCACTGGTTCTGGTTTTACCTCCCTGCTGATGGAGAGACTCTCTGTTGATTATGGCAAAAAGTCTAAGCTTGAGTTTGCGATCTATCCAGCCCCTCAAGTTTCCACAGCAGTTGTGGAGCCTTACAACTCCATCCTGACCACCCACACCACCTTGGAGCACTCTGACTGTGCCTTCATGGTGGACAATGAGGCCATCTACGACATCTGTCGTAGGAACCTCGACATCGAGCGTCCATCTTATACCAATCTCAATCGYCTTATCAGCCAGATAGTCTCATCCATCACAGCTTCACTTCGCTTTGATGGAGCTCTGAATGTTGACCTGACAGAGTTCCAGACCAACTTGGTRCCCTACCCTCGTATCCATTTCCCTCTGGCCACCTATGCCCCRGTCATCTCTGCTGAGAAAGCCTACCACGAGCAGCTGTCTGTGGCTGAAATCACCAATGCCTGCTTTGAACCAGCCAATCAGATGGTGAAGTGTGATCCACGTCATGGTAAATACATGGCCTGCTGTTTGCTGTATCGTGGCGACGTTGTGCCCAAAGATGTCAACACTGCAATTGCAGCCATCAAGACCAAGCGCACCATCCAGTTTGTGGACTGGTGCCCCACAGGCTTCAAGGTGGGCATCAACTACCAACCTCCAACTGTGGTTCCTGGAGGAGACCTGGCCAAGGTGCAGAGAGCTGTGTGCATGCTGAGCAACACCACAGCCATTGCTGAGGCCTGGGCTCGTCTCGACCACAAGTTTGATCTGATGTACGCCAAGAGAGCCTTTGTCCACTGGTATGTTGGAGAGGGAATGGAGGAAGGAGAGTTCTCAGAGGCCAGAGAAGATATGGCTGCTCTGGAGAAGGATTATGAAGAAGTTGGCACTGACAGCATGGGAGAGGATGATGAAGAAGGAGAGGAATATTAAGGGGTCCAACATTAGCACTCATTCCACGCATTGCTCTTAACATAGCACATTTCCAGCAACATTCATGAAATAAAATGTGTGACTGTGACCTGTCACTGTCATTAATAAAGGTCTAAGGAATGTTTCAAATGAATGTGTGCTCTTTCTTGAATAGTTTAAGCAAAGCAAATTGTTATAAAAACAATGGGAATAAAACACTTTAATTTTTAGCTTTCATACTTGTGCTTAACTCAAAAACAAAAGTAGTAAGCAATGTTG